GCAACCAGTTTGGAACAACTTTTTTCATTCTGACTTCCGAAATTCCGATTTTTAAAATTTTCCGACTTTTTTGGATTGGAATTGGAATTATATAAATATATGAATTTTCCGATTTTCGATCTGGTTTAATAATTGAAATTAGTTCAAAACGAGTATGATTTTTTCCCCCGAAAAAATTCCCTATAAATAATATATATTATATAATACTTATGATAAGTTTTTTTCTTCTTTCTGAAATAGTAATTTGATTTAAGTTTTGTTTAAGGATTTTGATATGTTGAATTGTTGTTAACAGTTTTATTGGATATGTGGTTTACTTTTTTTTTTTAAATTGAAATTTGATAGTTATTAGTTTTACTTTTATCGACATGGATGTTCTTATTTTTGGAAAATTCTGAAACTTTCAGAAATTTCTGCTAAGTTTTAAAATTTTAAAACTTATTATTTCCGATATCTTTCCGATATTATGAAAGTACTTCCGAAAATTTTTGAATTTTTTTTCGAAAAGGCTAATTCCGATTTGATCGATCGAACTTTCACCCGTAAATATTAGTATCCATATTGATATCATTAATATGAATATTAGTATTAATGTTAGTGTTAGTATTAGTATTTGTACTAGTATTAGTATTAGTAGGATTACGATTAGTGCCCGCATGGGTGTAGCTCAACTCGTTGCGGAGATGGTAAGTTGGTACAAGGTCCTAGGATCGAATTCTGGCAGTCGCAGTGTGGGGATTTCAACTTCAATGAGGGTTGGTTCCTTGTGGGCACCAGGTCGGGGTCCGCTATCTAAACGGGCCGTTAAGTTACCATGATTTACAATCCTCCATCAAATACTTGTCGGGCCAAGGGATGGGGGCCCTGGGGGCGACGGATTTCGCCTTTGGTACAAGGATTGCGATTAGTGAGTAGTAATAGTATTAGTATTATGACTTGGATTAAGATTAGCATCAAGATTTGAATTATTATTATTATTAGTTTTAGTATTATTATTGGTATTAGTATTAGTAATACGTGGTATTGTTTCTTTCATGTTCAACACATGGTTATGTGAAGGTAGTGGCGTATACATCTCATCTCTTTTGCAATATTTATAAGTTGTGTTGTAATTTGAATAATGTGTATCGTTGATTGAACGTCGTTAGTGATAAACTTGGAAGTTATTTGAATCTCTTTTGTGTCACTTCTCTGTTACCGTGTTTGTTGTTAAGTCAGTTATTGTGCATAAGATTCACATGGTGTATTAGATTGCATTCCATGTGATAGAGTTATACCATATGTTTCAAATGAGTTATACCATATGTTTCAAATGATTTCACTTAATTTTCATGCCGCGTTTTGCGCGCTTCGCATTTTCTTCTTTGTAATATTTAATTGAATTTCATATGTTACAACTTTGAATTAAGAGATAAAGGTTTTTTTTTTTTTTTCGTATCATTTTGTTTTACTTGAATTGGAGTTGTTATAAAAAGATAATCGTTTATATATTATTATTTTCTCATTTTGAAACTGACCTCCTCGGAACTTACGAGTGAAGTACGTCAATAAAAAAAACTTGTTCCAAAATCGTAAAAAAAAAAATCGGATTGTAAAAGGCGAAATTTGAAAGTCCCTTATTTTCAGTTACTTATAATATAAAATATATAATATTATGGATGGATATTACAAGTGTAATTTTCGAAAAATAATTGAAAATTGTGGAAATTAAAATCGGAGTGAAATCAAAACTTAGTGTGTCATCTTCTCCCAGATTTTTTCATCAATAATCCAAAATAAGTTATACCTTTTTCACTAAAATGTCTTAATTATTATGAGTATTATATAATAAATTGTTATAGAAATAAGTAAAATTTGATTTAATATCACACAATTTGATAAATAAAAAAAAAATATCCATACTCAATATTTATTTTTAGGGTGAATGGCAAAAAGGCCCATCACATGGGATTTAAATGCATTTTGGTCCATAAAAAAAAAAACAGTCTATCAATTAAACCCATCCCCATGTTTTTAGTCTAAAATACCCTCTATAATATAAATCTTATCAATTCCATCCATTATGCTCTAACTTCCTTAATATTACACATTTGACCCCGGATTTAAATAAATATATCACATTAACCCCCATTTTTTTTTCAGAAACTAATTTTTTTTCTGAATTTATTTCTCGGGCCAGATTCCAGCGTTAACCACCGTTGACCGTCGGTCTCCGACGTTGACTAAATAAAGAAAACATTCATGTATATTTCAAAATTACCCCCAACCATTTATACGCAATTCTTAATTGTATCCTCAATTTAATCAATTTTGACAACAAAAATCCAATTCAGACTTATTTTTTTCGAAAACATTTTTTTTTCAAAAAAAAAAAATTCGCCGCCAGATTCCGACGTTGACTTTTCGATTTTTTTTTTTGGTCTGTTTTTTTCGCCGCTAGATTCCGACGTTGACTTTTTCGATTATTTTTTTTACATCCGCCGCTAAACGTTGACCGTAATTGTGCTATCACTGACAGTAAGTTAACGTAATTATATTGTAAATGACAGTACATTAACGTAATTGTACTGCCGTTGACAATACATTTATTTAATTGCTCTGTCGTTGCCAGTAAATTAACGTAATATTATTATTTATTTTTTTGTTATTTTTTTTTTTAATTTTGTTTGATTTGTTGACAAGTCAACGTAATTATATTATTGTCGTTGACAGTAAAATAAATGTAAACACAATAGTATTACTGTCAACCACATCAATATTTTTTTTTTGGATTTTCTGTTTTGTTTGAGTCATTCACGGAGTAACGTAAAAATAATACTGTCTATTATTGTAATATTACCGTTAACACAATAATATTACTGTGATTGACGGTAATATTACTGTTGTTATAGTAATATTGCTGGCAAGATCTTGCTGTTGCCAAACAAGAAAAGCAAGATTTGATTCAGGCATTCCATCGAGCACTTGGGGTGGAGAACATGACCCATCAACATGACTAAATAAGTTCTGACTACGAAGATTTGAAATGAGCTGAGCTCTCCGTAAAAGGTAGTTTTCATGGGTTAATTTAATGGTGAGAATGCTAGAAGGTGGGGGCAGAGATACAGGAGAAAAAGTAAACGGATATGGATGAGGAAGAGGAGGGAGGATTCACCATAGGAGTAGACGGAGAGGGATCTGCCATTAAAGCAAATAAAAGAGAAAAAAAATAAACTAAGGAAGACGTGAGTCTTATGTAGCTCTGCATGTTGAATCTGTAATCATACTCAAAGGTGTAGAAGATAGATATGGATATGAAAACCAAACAAAGAAGAAAAACACATCCATTTTTATTTATGTTAATTTCACTATGTACACTGTACATATAAATAAAGATAAAAGGATAAAATTTGTTATGCTAGAAAACAAGAAGTCAGGACACGTGTCTGCCTATATATTCCCTTGCATATTTGTTGTGATCTCTTGTGGTGAGCTGGCAATAGGTTTAGTTTCTTGGGGAGAAAGATTATTGCTAGTAGCTGTCAACCACATCAATATTATTATTTTGTTTGAGTTTTTTTGTTTGTTTGAGTTATTTATGGAGTAACATGATAATATTACTGATTATTATTGCAATATATATTACTGTAGTTGACGGTAATATTACTGTTGTTATAGTAATATTACTGTCACTCGCAGTAATATTAATTCTTTTGGCTTTTTACTATGTTTACATTTGTTGAACGATCAACATAGTAATATTACTCTATTACAAAATAATAATGAATTTTCTTGTGTTAATATTACCGCGCAAAAGATTAAGATAGCAATATTACTGTGCTAAATTGTAGTATATTTAATTTTACTGTGTTTAACAGTAATATAGTTAATATTACTGTCACTCACAACAATATTGTTGTTTAAATGAAAAAAAACAGATGTTACAGAAAGAAAGAAAGAAAAAGAAAACAAAAAACTCAACGACGGAAACCGGTTGCGGAAAAAAAAAAAAGTCAACGCCGGAGACCGGCGGTCAACGGCGGTGAAGGACGAAATTGTCGATAAAAATGTGTTCTGGGTCAAAATTGAATAATTTGTTAAATTTGGGGTCAAAATGAGGTTAAATTAAATTAAGGATGAAATTGGAGCATATTAAAAGTATGAGCGGTTATTTTAGTATTTCACAAAAATCTGGACCATGTGTCATGTGTGGACTTATTTGTAAATGAGTTTTTTGTCTGGATCTCTTTATGAATAAGTACCCATTGATGGACTTATTTGTAATGACCGATATAATAAATTGTTATAGAATAAAATTTTGATTAAATATCTGACAAATAAAAAAAAAATCGATAATCAATATTTTTTTATTTTCTTAGTTTCAGCACATATCTACTGAGTAAGAAGAAAAAACCATATAGTAAATAAATTTTCTTATGTTAATTCTTTTACAATATATATATAAAAAAAATATCCTTTTATACTCAACCTTAATCTGTCAAATATTACTTCGGTCATTAAAAAACCATGGTATGTTTTTAGGTATTTTATTTGTACACAAATTCATTGTTAATGTATCAAATACTACTTCGATTATTATTTGGTAATAAGCTGTACCATGAGATATTTTCCTTTTTTTTTTAATTCCAAATTATACTTGAACTCAACTTCTTTTTACTTAATTAATAGGTTAGAACTAGGTTTCCTTTTGAATAATTTCCCGTCCTTATATATAATAGCTGCTACCCACATCTCTTCTCTTCAAAACATCAAACATCAATTTTCATACTTCGATCTGAATATTCATCAATTTCTCTATTATTTTATCTCCCATGGCCATGTCTACAACTCAAGCTCGCCGAAATCTTTTCTCGGTCCCTTTTTACAACGAATGCATCCACGTAACAGTAACAAAAGAGGCCCGACAAGTACATGAATGGATTCTTTCGATATGCAGTATTCACATCGATTTCCCGAAGAATCTTTTAATAGGTCTTGATACCGAGTGGCTGCCAAATCTAAACCCAGGCGAAAACCACCCTATTGCTATACTCCAACTCAGCATCGGCAACCGGTGCCTCATCTTTCAACTTCTTCACGCAGACTTTATTCCGGTTTCGCTCCACGCCTTCTTAGCCGATCCTCGCCACACGTTTTGTGGGGTCGGTATCAAAGATGACGTGGACAAATTATACGATCATCATAAATTACGCGTGAGAAAAATCGCGGACCTGAACGATCTTGCAAGACTGGCGACGATCAACAGCCAAAGTGGAAATGGAAGGTACAAATACATGGGATTGAAGAAGATGGCGTATGCGGTTCTTGGAAAGAAGATGGAGAAGCCATTGAACGTGACGCTCAGTAAGTGGGACGCTGTGGAGCTCGATCGTGATCAAATTGAATATGCAGCCATTGATGCGGTAGTTTCTTACCAACTTGGTTATACAATGTGCTCGCCGATTTATCGTCCGCAGCCAGGCTTTATCGTAGTTGGACGACCTGGAATGTTATTAGTTTAGGGACAACTTTGGATGTTCTTCATGTGTATATTATATATTTTTTCTGTTTCGTTGCTAATTGCTAAATAAGAAAAGGGATCGAAGTTATGTTGTTCTTTACATTTTTTTTTATCAATGTTTTGGTATTGTACTTGGTCTAGTTTAAGAATTCAGTTATATTTTAAGGCTTGCAGGCACATGAAAAATTAATTCGACATACCAGATTAAGAGTTGTTTCCTAATTAAAAAACAATATATATATATATATATATATATATATATATATATATATATATATATATATATATATATATATATATATATATATATATATATACATATATATATATATATATATATTTATATATATAGATGTATATATCTATAAGAGCTAATATATATCAGATGACGAGTGATAAAGAGAGAATATTAT